CCCTTAGCCCGGCTTCCACTAGCCCCGCCCCCGCCGCGCCCCGCCCCCGCCGCCAGAGGCGCCCCCAGGTGTGGCCCCAGCGCTGGGGATGGGGGGAGGCTGAGGGGGGCTGCCGTGGCTGCCTCCCAGGGAATCTGGGCCCCAGAAAGGGGCCTGCTCCCTCCCCGCGCCCGCCCGCCGGCACCCTGGCCTTGAGCCCAAGACGGACGCCCCTTCCCCCCTGAGAGCCGGCCCTGCCTGGGGACAGCAGGGGGGACAGGCCACTCCCGAACAACGTGGGGTGCCGGCCAGTGGGACCAGACCCCCAGCAGCCACTGCCCCTTGGCTGCCCGGTGGGGGGCTTCACAGCCCACGGGGCAGCGCCCAGGCCCATGGGAGGAGGGCGGGCAGGCTGGCCCCAGCTGCGGGGCTGCCCAGCTTTCAAGGGGCCTGGCCCCTGGGCCTCGGGGCTGCAGCAGACCCAGTCTGGGGACCCCGGCCTGGGACCCCGCCCCAGCGCCAGGTGAGGCCGGGCCCCAGGGCTGTGGCCCAGCAGAAACCCCAGTGACAGGTCCGGCGGAGCCGCGGTCAGCAGCAGTCACCGCCTGCAGCCCGGCCTCCTGGGCTCTCTCCTTGCCCCTCGGCCGCTCCGGAGCGCAGGCCCAGAAAGGACCAGAACCGCTCTGCGGCCCAGAGCGGCCCTGGCCCGGCCGCCCACCTCCCCCGGGGGGTGCCAGGTCTGCTTGGCAGGACCGAGTTGGTCGCCACCGGTCAGCCTGGTGGGCTGGCTGACACGGGGCCGGGGTGCCCGGGTGCCACCGACCTCACCGAGGGAGGCCTCCCCCGCCCCTCCCCGCGGCCCGGCCCCCCACCCCAGCCCCCCAGACTGAGGCAGGAGGCCCTTCCTTTCCCAGAAGCTTTACTGGGGGCCGGTGGAGCTGCGGGCTGGGCCCTCCAGTTGGCTGGGGGGCCTGTGGTTGCTGGGCCCTCTGCCCTGGCCCTCCCCCGCCCCGCGGGCGTGTGGGTCTGCGGGCTCTGACCCCTGTGCAGAGGGCCTCTGGCCCCGGCCTGTTGGCCCGGCTGGCCCCCGCCCCCGCCCCCGGCCGAGGCCTGCACAGCCCCCACCTGGCCGGGATGCGGGCGCCCGGCACACCCCCTCGGGCACCGGCTCCCTCCTCCAGCCAGCAGGCTGCCCCTGCACCCCAGGAGCCCCTGGGGCGAGGGGGCGGCACCCCTAGGTCCCCGCAGACGGCGCTGGGTCTGCTTCGGCTGAGATCATCCAGCCCCAGTCCCCCCAAACCTCTTCATTATTTCTCCGTAAATAAGGCTTTTCCTGGTCGGAATAACCAGCATTTTTTGGTCGCTCCCACATCTGGCTTTGATTGGCCCCGATGCTGGAGCCTGCGTGAGGGTGGGGG